CAGATCGGACTCGAGTGTTTGCCTTCGGCATCAAAAGTTATCGTCTGGAGATTTGCCATCTCGGCTCCAAGTAGTGCGGGATAGTCCATGATTGGACGAGCACCACAGAGTGGCTCGCTTGTAATTAGCTCGGGGGAACATGAAAACGAAGTATGATTCAGCAAGTGACCCAACAGGATAGGTAGGCACTTTCACTAAAATGACTAGTTACGGATCTTCTGGGTTTTAGTTAACTTTTCCGACAGGAATAAGTTTAATTGAACGGGTCGGGTGGAAACACAGCTGATGGAGGCATAACAAGAAAAGTTGTACTGCTGTAGAGCCAGCGGGCTTCGGCGGCGGATTCCATATTTCCATTCCTATATTCCATGGCGGTGTGGAGTGCATTGTTTCAACAATGTTGTACTTTCTCTAGCTCTTGCTTGATGAGGAACAAGCTCCAGCGACTACGAACATGTTCGTGCTAATCGTTTACTGTCGTGCCAGAGCAAAATCGCCAGTTTGCTCTAATCTTCCTTCACGAACCATGCCGCCATCCATGCTACCAGTGCAGTAACAGCAGCTTAACGTGCACGAAGCCAACGTTAATCGGTTGCCCCGCGTGCAGTTCGCACTTAAATTCTGTAGAAAACTTTGATTGTGAGTCTAATGTTGGCATACCTACGGTGGTGGAAAGCAGGTACATATTGTGAAAGACCTCAGATGCACTGTCAAGTGGTTGTGGTACCATCTGGATGCTGTTCTCCTGTAGAAAGCTCACATTGGACATATTGAGCATGCTCACAGAATCGAGAATGAGTTAACAGGAAGAGGAAAAATTCCTGCTAAAGTCCCCTCGACAAGGGTGCCTTTATACTTTATGCACAAGAGAATTTTCGAATTTTCATATTAAAATGTATGCAGCTTAGACTTCGTCCTGGAAAAAAGTGAACTATAGCAAAACTGTAATCAGTATTGTAATTGCGAACCATGGGGCCTTCATCCAGAGCACAGGTGTTTTCAGTGGTGCCTTTATAAATTTGAAACGCACTCTATGTTTATGGATGAGCTCTTCCCTGAATATTGGATTATTTCCTCTCTTTCCAAATAGTCCTTTACAGGAACCTGTTGATGTCTTTCAAACTCACATGCAGGGAAGTCAAGTGCCTGACATTGATCGCATTCGCACGGGAACGCGCCGTGCACTGACATCCAGCGATCCGGCACAAGTCGTAGTCTCGTCCACTCCCAAACAACCTATCGCTACCTTGATCAATGCTGATCCCTGCGGTTGCGGCCTTCTTCCCACTGGATATAATACAATCCCCCTGCTCAAAGACTCCTTAACGCAGGCTTGACCCTGGTCAGGAGCCCTCAATATTTTCAACTCGGCAATTGGCATACGAGGGTTGTTCATAGTTAGGAGTCAGTTTATGACACGAAAAAATTCATAGATCTGCTTGTTCCAGAAATGCAAAGTTTGAGGCTGATCTTTTTAATAAATGAAACGTTTTAATATAAACGAATCAGTATGTTCTCTTACCACCGGATAGCTTTTAGGATTAAGCCCAGCTTCATTTTCTAGCCCTGCTATCCACAGCTCTTTGCATGTTTGACCTTGATTAAATCGTAAAAACTCAACGCAATTGAATCATGACCCGCAAATTATTATGCACTTTAGTGAGTTGCATCATCCCTTCTCCCGTGGACCATTATTGTACATTATACGAAGTAAATTCTTTAAAGGCACAACCCAGGCAGAGGTCGTGTATAACTCTTCTCTTCGGTCAGAAGTATAGAACCCTAGGGGACAATCACAAATGTGGCGTTCACGTGCACGGAATTCGACCGACAAGAACGCTTTGGGCTTGCAAAGTAAGCTGCTCGAGCTGCAGCGAACGAGCTCTCTTATCAGGCCGTTGTCTGGTGCTCTCTCATCTGATGCGCTCTCTCGCCCCATACTCTCCTCTTCGCGCTTAGTCTCTCGTTCCTTTAGCACAGCCAATTAGGAAGGTGAGTGAGCCCTCAACCTGAGCGTTTTCGACGGATTCTTTTCCTTTTTTCTTCACTGCCGGCCCACTTGGCACCGATACATTCACATTCGTGTGCAAGAGCCACACCAGTGCGATCCTGGGGCATGCCTTTAACAGCCCACCGTCGGCGAGGGCCATTTGAGCTAACTGGCCTCAGAATATCTATTTCTAGTCATTTGCGTCGCTGACCGAATTCGTGCGAGATCTGTCGCATCCTTCGGATGGGACAAATCCTAAAGAATTTGTCATCGACGAAAGAGGCTAGCACTGTCACTGTTTCCGATTTAAGTAAAACCATAACCTGGTAAAGATAGAACTGCTGGTGATGCCATATTTGAAAACAATGACGATTATGATGATCAGGTCGACAGCTCTTTGCATTTTGGCTTAACTGCCTGTTGTTGTCATCATGTTTGTGTCCTACTTATAATCATCAGCCCTTTACTCACCAATGGACAAGGTAGGAAAACTGATCGGGCAAACCAACCGCAACAAAAATAGGCGCCAGGTCAATCTGTTTGGGATTTTGGAATGTAAATCTGGAGCCACTATAACGTCCCATGACCATAGTCATTCCACGGGGTATTACAGTCGCGCCTGGAGCTGACGGGATTGGTAGAATGACGGGACCAAGGTATGCACATCGGTTATAACTACGAAGCCCTTCTCCTCTGTGTACCCCTACCTTACGATATATCCACTCTTAAAAGGTTTTCAGCTCGCATATGGACGTCCTTACGGTGGAAGAGCGTGCACATGAATCACGTTGCCTTAGAGTGAAATATTGGTGGAACGGAAAACATGACCTTGATTCACAATCGATATTTTTGTAACATTATCGGCAGTTTGTGCAGAATGGAGTGAACAAAATTGTCAAGAGTTTTCAGTTATTTCGCCATGGAGCGAGGGCGCCGCATAGCGAGATTACCGAAGCAGCCCACCGAGACAAATTCCCCAATGGTTTAGGAGAGCTGACAGATGTGAGCCTTTCTAGACTTGCATGAACCTTCTCCGCTGTTTTTATTGTACCATGGTTTTTGTAGGCAGGAGTAGAAGGGAACAGGAAGCTCGGACAATATCTTGAACATCGTTACGTTAGCTCAAAGTTTTTGCGTACTCCTTTGCTTCCAACAGAGGTACGTTTCTGAACTCTCAACCCTTTGATGACAATGGCAATATGCACGCAGTGTGCTCGTAAGACCACACCTCAACTTGCGGGCCAACTTTCGCTCAAAATATGGTAAAGTAATCCTTGAGGCAGCTTCGAATAGTCCCCTTTAGTGACATGCTAGATTTCGGTACTGTTTCATGATTGTAATTAAATCACCTGTATCACCTGTCGTCCCGTTGATCATCGAATTGCTCGAGCGGGCGCCAGCAACGTCTCCATTCGTCCCTGTCGCGTGCAAGAGTTGTCCAGTGGACCCTCCTCGCTCGAGGGACACGATGTCCTTCATTCCTTTCGTTCAGAGCTTTCGTGAAGAAGTCTGACCATCGGGCCGGCGGTCGTCCAGGTGTTCGTTTGACGTCCCGAGGGATCCAGTCGGTAACCGCTCTGGTCCAACGGTCATCGCAAAATCGCATGACGTGTCCGGCCCACCTTATCTTCGATTCCTTGGCGAAAACGGCAGCGTCCCTGATCTTCGATCGTTGGCGTAGTTCGGAACTCCGGATTCCCCTCTGCACTTGCGTGTATAGGGTTACTCCTAGCATCGTCCTCTCGACAGCGCGTTGGATAACGCTGACCGCATGCTCTTCACTACTCCCTCGATGTTCTTATACGCTCCCCAAGCCGCTCGTTTCCTCCTGCTCAGCTCTGGAGCTAGATCGTTCATCATATTGATTTCCCGACCTAGGTACACGTAGCTGGAGCATTCGGTGATGTTCGTTCCGTTGAGCGTGAATGGGGCATCAGGAACCAATCCGTTTCTCATAAACATCGTCTTCGTTAGGTTCAGCTGTAGACCAACCTTACCACAGGCGCAGTCGAAATCAGCCAGCATTCGCTCCGCTTGCTCGATGTTCGGCGTTATAAGAACGATGTCGTCAGCAAAACGAAGGTGGTGTAGTTGCCGGCCGTCGACCTTCACTCCCATGTCTTCCCATTCCAGTTGACGCATGACGTTCTCGAGAGCGGCGCTGAAGAGTTTGGGCGAGATGGTGTCGCCCTGTCGAACCCCTCTCTTGACGTCGATGATGACCTCCTTGTAGAATGGTGAGATCCTGGTCGTAAAGTTGCTGTAGAGCTCACGAAGAATCTTGATGTACTGAGTAGGGACGCCCTGGTTGCCCAAGGCTTCGATGACCGCTTCTGTCTCCACAGAGTCGAAGGCCTTCTTCAAGTCGATGAACGTGAGACAAAGCGGCATCTTGTACTCTCGTGAAACTTCAATGAGTCTTGTAACCGTGTGGATATGGTCGATCGTGCTGAACCCTCTTCGAAACCCTGCTTGCTCGCATGGCTGTCCTTCATCTAGTATTCTGCCGATCCTGTTAAGGATGACTCGAGTGAATAGCTTGTAGATTACAGACAGCAGGCAGATTGGGCGATAGTTGCCAATGTCGTCCAGGTCTCCCTTCTTGTACAGCAACACGGTCCTGCTGGTTTTCCACGGAGTGGGTACCTTGCATTCCGACAGGTAGCGCGTGAAGAGTCGAGCCAGAGTTTTGATGATAACTGGCGGCGCATTCTTCAGATGTTCCGGTTTGACCCTGTCGAGACCGGGTGCTGTACGATTCTTCACCGACTTGATGGCGTGTCGGACTTCGGAAGAGAGAACTGAGGGGACGACGTATCCATCCTGTTGCAGTTGATAAGTGGGCAGATGGACATGGCTATCGAAGAGATCCGAGTAGAAGTCGTGGATGACTTTCTCCATTGCCCTTCGGGATGCAGTAACTGTTCCATCCGGACGTCGGAGGCAGGTCATCTTGGTCTTGTAGCTGGCAAAGCTTCGGCGGGCATTGCGGATGCTCCTCCCAGCCTCTGCTGCTTCAGCTAATACTGCTGCTCTTCGCTCCTTGAGATCTTCCTTTATCGCCTCTCTGCATAGCTTCGCAAGCTCGGACGTGAGTCGGTGATTGCCTGCAGCTCGTGCGGCTCCACGCTGGCGTATCAGTTCGAGAGTTTCCGGAGACAGACGTCCCTTGGTGACTTTCAAACTCTCTGCCTTCTTGCCACAATCGTGAAGATGTTCAACGAGCCGATAGTACTCCTCGTCGATGTTTTCGATGACGGAATCCTCCCATAAGCTGACGAGGGAAGCGAAGTGATCCCAGTTGATGACTGTCCTGGGGCTTCGCTTCCTGAACTTTCGAGGCTCTCTCAACACGCATCGAAAAGTGGAACTTTGCGCGGAGGAGACGATGGTCCGATCCCGTGTAGAAACTTCGGAACAACAGCGACGTCGGTCAGGCAAAACCTTCGATTGAAGATGATGTGGTCTATCTCGTTATGGAACTGTCCATCAGGTGACTCCCAAGTCCAACGAAGGTGAGAGGGCTTTTGGAACTGTGAGTTACCATGGATGGTGTTGGTCGACATGATAAACTCCGACAGTCTCTCACCCTGCTCATTCCATTCCATTCCGTGAGTACCGATGTGAAGTTCTTCAGCCGTTCTTCTTGGGCCAATCTTAGCGTTGAAGTCGCCGACGATGACCTTGAAGAAGGTATGATCTTCCCTGTAGAACTTCTCCAATTCCATATAAATGCTTCGTGTTCCTCCTCGTCGTAGCTGGATGTTGGTGCGTAGGCGACGAAGATTGTCAAAGCAGGAGTTGAACCACATCTTCTCAATCTCAAACGTCCGATTCGGGTCGTAAGGCTTTCGTACGAATCGATGTTTATGGCCAAGTGCGTGTTGACGAGGACACCCACACCGCCAACGCCTCTGCTGTCGCATGTTCCAAGGAACAGTTCTTCTCCAGTATCGAAAACGGCGTGTAGCGGGCGGTGCCTTCTCGTCTCGGTCAGTCCGATGACGTCGTACTTGATCTTCCTGGCCTGCATCATCAGATCTTCGATGTGAGCTTCGGATGCAAGCGTTCGTGCGTTGAAAGTACAGATCGCCATCTTAGTCCTTCTTCGTTTAGGCAGCCTATCCGGGCCCTGAGATTCTAGCAGCCTCTCCCGAGCGGTCCTACCCAACGCTGCCGTATTGGGGGCTCCCTCAGGTTCAGGGGAATGAGGCCCATCCATATTGCTGTTTTCGGCATATTGAAGGCACACGAGTAGCTTGCCAGGCTCTGTCGTGTGGGCTAGGATAGACCTCCAGGTAGTTAGCCACGCTATCCTGGAGCGGAACAAGGGGCTTAGTTTTTGGAGGCGGCCCCGAATCGCCTCCCATGTACTTCCCAGTCACTTGAATGCAAGCTTTTGGCTGTGCCGACATGCAGGATACCAACCGCACACACACAGAGCGCACCACACACGCAAGCATGCATGGATGCGCCTGAGTGGAGACAGCTGGTATGAATCAACACAGCACTACAGAAACAGGGAGTCCATCCCCTGAATCCACCTGCGTCTCAGGGCAAGTACATGGTGGCTTTTGGTCCGCGATTTACCCCCTATCCGCCACCTGGGGTCGCGCCACGTAGCCTCGCCACCAACCGGCTCGAGATCTTTCAGTGAGAGAGGACCCTCAGTGAAAGAGATCCGTGGGTAATACATGATAGGTATTAAATATTGTTGTAAAAAAAAAAGGGATGGCCGGAAGGCGAGCTCGGATCCTGCCTGCCCGTTTTGAAGACAATAGAAAACTGTAGTGATAGGCAATTAATCTTCAGCCTAATCATTTCAGCTAGATTTCAATTACTGTGCCGCTAAATGCCACATCTAACGATAAGAACTACATGAAATATCTCTTGTAGTCATCAAGGTTCGGTACAGATCACTTCAATGCTTGGTGGTGTTTTGAAAACTAAACGTGGCATTTGCATCGCTCAAAACAATTCGCTTGATGCTTACTTGTGCTTAGGTTATACGGATCCTACTCACTTCATCTGCGACCACCTGCTAAATCATTCGTTTCTTATTTCGTAGACACCTCCCATGGCTGTTGTTGAAATCTGCAAAATTCCTATGAGAGCCCAATCTACCGTTCTTCTTGACCACCTGTCATCAGTTTCCATGAGATATATCTGGCTCACCGTAGCTTGGCGTTTGTCATGTACTCCACAGGATCTCGACATGGGACATTCTTCGTAGATCCGAGCATGGAAGTTTGGCTCGATCCTACTATATATAATTCGCTAAGTATGTCTGTGTGTAGGTGTGTGTGTGTCTGTCACGAAATTCATAGCGCCCTTCGGTGCAACAGTGGAGCGCTGTATTTTGAGTATGTTGTAGGGGTGGGACGGGAACATATTTGGTGGGGGACCCAAAGTGATAACGACTGATAAGATCCGATAAGAGGCGCCAAACGCCAATTCCACGATATCCATAGCGCGCGTCCCAGCATCAGTGAGGCGTTGGTTCGAAGAAGTGTTGTGGGGGGGGGGTACGGGAACATATATGGTGGAAAAAAGAAAGGGATAACGGCTGATAAGGGCCGATAATAACGATATGCGCAAGAATATAGAGGTCACTCAAAACCAGACTTTAGATAAAGCATTTCATTTCAATATTCTTTCATTTGCGTTGTTATCATCAGCCCGAAATACCACTAAACCGCTATGCCCCCAGAGTTCCTAAAAATGTATGGTGTAAGTTCAAAAATACGATAACGAGTGCTGGATGTTTATATTTTAACATCACACACAATCCGACCGCTAAATTACACTGGCATTCGATGCATGGTGGTTGTTTACAGACACCACTTTAGCTCCGCACTCCACTGCGCGTATCAAACGGTGAGCTTCTGCTAAGATAAAGAGCCTATGTTAGCGGTGAATCTAGCGCTTTGTCGGCTGTCCTGTCTCATCCCGACCTTCCGTTTAATGCGCGCGGTAGCGTGCGGCGCTAAACTGGTGATGGGTAAACCGATGAAGTCTCAAAAGACATCGCTCGAGCGCTCTGTGAGCTACAGTCAAGGTCCTTGACGTGGATGCACTGCTCACCCATGTCTCAGCCGCGTAACAAAGCGCAGGAAGAACTGTAGAGTCAAACAAATGCGCACGAAGTTCTGGGTCAGCCAGATGGTTGGTAACTTCTTTCAGAGGTCCGAAGGCTGCCCACGCTGCTCTCTGTCGTCTTCCTAGCTCTTCTTTCATATCGTTGTCCATGTTCATGGATCGTCCGAGATAAACGTAAGATGTGGCTTCCATGATAGGTGTGCCATCAATCTTGATTCCGCCTCCATCGGACCAAAGCGTTCTTCATGAACTGTGTCTTTTTTGGTTGATCCGCAACCCCACCTTCTTTCCTGCTTCATTCAATTCAGCGAGCATCGTCTCAGCTTCCGTAGTGCTCCTTGAGAAGCACTGATTCCAAAGGTACCGTCCGTCCACACGAATGCCCTTCTCATCCCAATCGAGCGACTTCATTATCCACTGCAAACTGTAAACAACTTTGGCGAGATAGTGTCGCCTTGTCTCACGCCCTTCCCCAAAGGGATGGTGAGAGGTCGTTGGAAGGAGTTGCACCGTTGCGGTGCAGCGACGATTGCGGTCGGCCAGCGTTCTTATGTAGGACGCTTCCACTCCTTGGTCGACTAATGCTGACAGGATCGCGTTTCGTTTCTACACTGTCAAAAGCCTTCTCGTAGTCAACGAAGGTAAGAACAAGAGGCATTTGGAATTCTCGGCACACTTCTATGACCATGGCGACTGACTGGATGTGGTCTAAGCAGCTGAATCCCTGACGAAATCCGGCTTGCTCGGTAGGTTGCGCTTCATCCAGTGATCGCGAGATGCGCGTAAGGATGATCTTGGTGAATAGCTTGTACAGAACGCTCAGCAAGCTAATTGGACGGTAATTGCGAAGATCATCACGGTCTCCTTTCTTATGGAAGGATAATCATGCGTGAGTTCCTCCAGTGGTCTGAGATCCAATCCTTCTGAGAGGTGGATGTGTAATATGGATTAGCGAGAAGAGCATGAAGTTGGTGACCACCTGCACGAAGCAAACTGCTGAGATCTTAGCCAGACCAGGAGTTGTGCCCCCCCCGCTCGCAATTGCAACTCGTACTTTTGAAGGGAGATTTCGGGATCTTATTTCTCCAGTGAGAATTTCTTCTTATTCTAGCGCTTCTGTAGTGGTTTGGGGATGATTGCTATAGAACTTCCTTATTTTTTCAATCTCAAATCGAGATGTTGTGAGAGTTCCGTGTTCCTCTTTTTAAACACGCGAGGGAAGTAGCATGGTCTTGTAATTCCGTCTGCGATTTCCGAAGACTAACTCTGTTCAGCGCTGCCTCTAGTTCGCCTCTGCTGCCTGTATTGCTGAAGATACTTTCGCATTGCTTGTTTGCAGCTGATACTAGCTTCAGCCCTTCGAAATTTGTAGCGTTTGAATCGATCGTTAGGTTTCCTCATGTCTTGAAGCAGATCTCGTCGCACCGGAGAGGAAGCATAGTCCTCCTAGCGCAAGCAATGAGTCCACGAAGCAGAGCGTCTTAACTCCGGTTGAGTCTCCATGACTTGCCAGTCATAATTGGACAATGTCGTACAAAACGTCTCCCTCGTATAAAACCTTGTTCGCTTCTTCCACGTGTAGTTGGAAGGAATTTCTCCAGCTTCTAGCTTAACCACAATTTGGCGCAAAGGAGGCGATGATCACAACCACTGCAGAAAGAGGGCAGCAAGCAACGTTTAGTAAGCACCACCTTCTCTTGGCAAGTATGTGGTCCAACTCGGCATGAGTTGTTACATTGAGGACTTCCATATCCAACGGCAATGCTTCTTTTTTTGAAGTACTGAGTTACCGCAGAAAAGTCCAACCTCGGCCGGAAGTCCGGCTAGACGGTTGCGCTCTCGTTCCAATCTTCCTTTCACAATCTCCAATCCTGAACACCTCTTTTAGGTTGTAAAGTCTGGAATGGGAGATTGGAACGAAAACCTTTCATTAAAGTCTCCAACAACCAACTTGGCCAAAAAATTTTCATTGCCTGCTTTCATAGTTCGCATCGGTGCGGTCGGTGCCGACGGTGCCGACGGTGCCGACGGCGCCGACGGTGCCGACGGTGCCGACGGTGCCGACGGTGCCGACGTCGCCGACGGCCGCGACGGCTGCCGACGGCGCCGACGCGCGTGCCGACGGCGCCGACGCACCGACAGTGTGAAGAGCGTCAATATGCGCTCTGGCGCACGACGTGTACGTTGGGCGCAGATGGCGCGCTCCGATCGATAATCTTGGGTTTGGTGTACTTCTTGTCTTCAGTCTTCCTTTTATAAGTGTGTTTTCTGTTGATACTTATTTTTTATGTCTTCATGAGTACTTTTCAGTTGTTCCGCGGACGAGCGACGTCGTATAACCCCGTGTGAAGTGGCTTCAAGACCCAGTGATTTCATCATGAGCAATTCTGTTTATTCGAGTGAACTGTATGTTTCCAGTAGTTGCTTTCTCTTCGATACAATTTCCTGCTGGTGTGCGAATAATTAAATTACCAAGATCCGGCGGCCTTTCGCACACCAGCAGGAAATCGTATCGAAGAAAAAGCAATTTCTAAATTTATAGAGTCCACTCGAATAAACAAAATTGCTTATGATGAACTCACCCAGTATAGCCACTCGGGGTAGTACGACGGGGTTCAACGAAGTCGTGGAACAGCTGAAAAGTATTAATCAAGACATTAAAGAAAAGTATGAACAGAAAACACACGAATGAATGCAACACGGCGCGAAAAAAACATCGAAAAGCACAAGAAATACACAAAAAACAACGGCATCGATCGGAGCCCCACATCTGCGCCCAGCGCACGCGTCATGCGCCAGAGCGCATATTGACGCTCTTCACACTGTCGGTGCGGTCGGCGCCGTCGGCGCCGTCGGCACCGACCGCACCGATGCGAACTATGAAAGCAGCCTTCGGTTCATCTCCAACTGCTTGTAAAATGCACTCAGTTTTGGCCTACATCAGCTGCAAAGTGCGGTGAGCAGCACTTGGTGATGCTGATGGCTTTGAGACGCGAATGCCGAAGGCGCAGGCCAGCAAAACGAGGAGATAATATCATCCCATGAGGGTCGAGAAGTGAACGATAGATGGATGTACGGCAAGTCTAACACCGCCGACGTTTCGCGATGGAAGCTTCTCACCTCGGATACCAAGGGCTCCATCTTTCATTCATTGCACGTCAGTCTTCTTGCTCTTAGTTTGTTGAAGGACAATCACATAGCACCGAATATGCTTGATCGCCTCGAGTAACTCTTGGAGAGTGGGATAGGAGGAAACCGTTCGTTATAGGTGTGAAGTTGGAAGCAGTGCAATATATAAGCAACATGGAATCGCCTAAATTCCAGAAAATCTAGCCACATTAGTCATAGTCAGACAAACTATGGTGGTTTAATGCTGAATCACGACTCAATGGAACACTGCACAAATTTTCATTCGAAAGACTAATTGTCCTAGAACCTTAAAGGCAAAGGTCAGGCTCAGCCGCGCTAGAGGAGTAATTCCCGTGCCCGGAGGTTACGTGAGTAGCTGCACACATTGCAGCAACGTCCCACCTTGAAAAACGTCGTTAGGCCCCCGGGGCCGTCGGTTTCAATCCGGGACCGCCTCGTCAATCCGGGACCGCCCACCTCCGGAAGTGGTGCGTGGCTGGCATAACGTGTGAATCAGCTAGGTTGATTGCCGTATCAACCGATAGAACGACTGATATCTCTCAGAAAACTTGTTTGTACGTGCCTCTTTCCCAAAGCCAGCCTCCTTCACTGCTAGTGGGAAAGAGGGTTTTGTTAACGGCCTTGTCGACGGTTTTTCTCAGTTTTTTCTCCACTGTCGTTTTACTTCGCATCTCTATACTCAGTTTCAATCGCCATAATACCCCCTTATTGAGCCCGACTTTTGCCTTAAAGCCACGAGTCAGGATTAGGTGACCATAGAAGGCCTTTCCATCACTAATATTTCCAGGAATGCGCTCAGAGGGGTGATGCCACACTCCTGACTCGAGATTGCGCGCCGTCAAGGCCTCTGGCCTACTACTTACAGCGATGGGTTCGTTCATCAGCTGGTCCCGCCCACCGCGGGATGTGGTGCGTGGCTGGCCTAACGTGTGAGATCAGCTAGGTTGATTGCCGTATCAACCGATGGAACGGCTGGCATATCCGGAAAACTCGTTTGGACGTGGCTCTCCCCCGAGCAAGCCTCCTTCACTGCTAGAAGGGAAGGGGTTTCGATTTCGGTCTTGTCGACGGTTTCTTTCGTTTTTTCTTCACTGTCGTTCCACCTCCCATCTCTACACTCAATTTCAGGCGCCATAATGCCCAAACACGAGCCTGACTTTTGCCTTTAAGGTTTCACAGCAGTACCTAAGCAGTGTTGGCTTCCGCCATGCTCACGCATTTACGATTCCTTTCCCTCTCCTCGGCGCCCGGTATTTTTTATCTTACTATCTCTTAGAATCCTCTGAGTATCCCTCTCAAGCCGAAGACTAGGCGTGGGCTTCCTGTCTTGGAGAATCCGTTTTTCTCTCTTATCGACCTTCCTCTCACTTTTCATTTTCGAGCAAGCACACCACAAATTGCGGTAACAAGAGCATTCCGCATACAATACATATTAAAATTGTACCGGCCGAAATATGAGAACAATTTTGTATATTTTTATTAGTTCGATGCTTATTCTTTGATTTCATACATGAAAGTCATTAACTTTGAACTGGTCTGAACAAGGCTTCAGCTCGTAACTAGATAACAATTCGCTTGTTTTCGAGATGTTTAGTGATGTTACTATGTAATGCAACCCAAAATTTCCAAGAGGCCTGTAACAACCACCACTGCAACGTCCAATGAACAAGGTACTAGGAGCGATTCTTCTGTGACGTGGAAGAGAAACTATTATTGCTGCCGAGAACATTACGGAGAGAGCACGCGCGATCTGCGCTAGACCCCACCACAGTCAATCTGTATTCTATCTCCTGTATTAGCAATCAGGCGCAGTCGCTGCCAGATACTCGAAGGAAACGTCCTGTGAAGAAGGCACGTATGTTTGGGAAATCCGCTCTAATGGACAAGATTATAAGTTCAGGAACATAGGCTGTATACCGTAACCCTCTCGACGTTGCACTGGGGCGCGCAATGTCACGTGTCATCGATTTTCCATGTGTGCTCGGCACCCACTTATCGTTTTCTCTGCGTTCTCTCAACGAAGAGAGTATGCGTCGAGCAAACCCGCCAACTATACTAAGCGCAGTTGATCAAGAACGCGGAGGATAGCACGCGCAACGATTTGGCCTCACGTAGGATGAGGCGGCACGTGGGGATCACCTCCCCGATTCGCGCGGAGCGCGCGCAGCGTTTGCCTCGCCGCGCAAGTGTTCGCGAAGGTGAACGCTGCCACGCTGCTCCATTTTTGGAACGCTGCGCGCCGGTGTAGCGTCGTTGCTCGTATTCGCTCACAACCTAACACCGCTTGCAGCGTCGCTTGCGGGAGGGCTGCGCCGAGCCCTAGCGCTAATGTTGGCTACGGTTTGCGGGAGGACTGCGCCGCGCCCTAGCGCTGATGTGGGTCACGGTATACATCCTATGTTCCTAAACTTATGATCTTGTCTCTATGACGTGACCAAATGAGAAGAAGTTAGGGCTGGACCTTCATTCTGTATTGCCGAACTTTCTCATTGATGAGAAAGCGCTCACAGTCGATATATTCGTTATAGTCGATATATTGGATAATAAAAAGTCCAAAGTCCAAAACTACTTTTCTAGCTTGTGTGCGGCATCATGGGATCCTGCACAAGTGAAGGTTTTACGGCGATTATATCAAAAATCAGGGCGCCCTTGACTTTTATTCCACGAGGCATAAAATAGAACAGCGAGGAGTTTCCTGACGTCCTTCAAGCTCAAATAATTCTTCAGACCAAGGTAAGCTACAGAAAAAATCACAAAGACATTGAGTTCTCCAGACTCCTGTACAAAAGGAAATTAGGGTGGAGTTGTTGCCAGCAGAGCTTTTCATAGATCACTGCCTTCGGAGAGCAGTCATTTGAACCTTTCATCTTTGAAGGCGGATTTTACAATGAAAGGGTGGCTTACTGGAAGCCAGTTTTGCGCCGCCCGCTATCGCGCGCATGTCAACATAGGCTTCAGTGAAACTGAGTATAGCCGGGCTATTGTATTGAGTAACATACTGCTTTCAATGGATTTGACTGATGGTATTAAGGAAATCAGATGATAAAGCAGTAATTTCTCATAGTTCGTCAATACCAATAACATCCAT